GCTGAGGAATGGTTAGAGGAATATTTAGGAAGTCCAGGTTGGCATCTCCATTCATTTGGACATGAGCTTCAATTCTGTCATCGTTGTTGCCAGCGGACACATTATGGGAATATCTGTACTGATTGAACCTGCCAGTAGCTTGCCAGCTGAACTGCTGAACAGAGAAACTGAGTGCAAAACCATAGTTATTCAGGAAGTCAATTTTGCCAGTCAGTTTCATCGGGAAGCTGATTTTCACATTTCCATCATTGTTTGTTAATAGACGAATTTCGAAAGGCTGTGCCAAGAAGGAAACCTCATTATTTACAGTTCCAGTAATCCGTCCATTGAGCCGAGCATTGTGAGAGCCTGTTAATTCTACTTTCATTCCTCCAAGCTGTCCTGTGCCTTTTACATTCAGAACACTACGTCCCACACGCTGTGACTCAATTTCAGACTGAAGCTGAAGTGTTGCATAATTTAGGAAACCACATTCATATCTCATAGCTTGGTTGACTTTCAGGTACTTGTCATTTATTCTGTTGTTGGCAGAAAATGTAATAATGGGGCCCTCAACCCTGAAAGTGGCATGTGAATCATGAGTGCCTTCATCGGAGAAATTAGGAGAAGCCCATTTCCAGTTTCCTTTACCAGTGGAGGTAATTGATATGTGTCCTGCTTCTACGTCTGTTGTCATATTATTGATCAGATCAGCCTGGCTGGAGAAATCAACTTGTGGAATATTCAGCCTGTGGGAATATGCTGTTCCACTCTGCATCCAAATTTTTCTTTGCAGCTTGACCATTAAATTATTCTGCAGTTCTATTGAATTTTTCATTGTATGTAAGTTTGCTCTAGTTTCAGCTTCACCTTCTACTGAAGTCCCTAAAAATACCACTTCATTGGAGTGATCAACTTTAAGGAACTTGTGGTTGACCTTCATGGAATTTTTAAGATTCAGCTGCTTCATCTCAGGGGCCAAGAGACGTGAATCTGCAATAACACTAAAAACCAGGAAGTCTAATTTGGACGTTGTTTGAGCTGAAAGGGAGGTCACAAATTCTGGACTGTTTGCAGATGTTGTAGTATTATGAACCTCAGCTTGCGTAGACAGTGTAAAGAATGGAGAGGTGACTCTGAAAGCACCAGACAATTTGCCAAATGTAGGGACAGACACAGCATGCGGGATACGTGGGAGCTGGAACTCTGGTATCTTCATGTTAGGAATCTGGAGCTCATTTAGATTTAGCTTTGGAACCAATAATTCTGGTATTTGAAACTGAGGTATCTGTATTTCTGGGAAAGAAATGTCGGAAAAAGGCATATCTCTCATCTTTAGATCTTTAAAATACACATCAATTGCTGGCAACTGAAATTCACCAGACATGAGTTTGTCTATTGTTCTCACAATCTGAAGTTTTATCTCATTCAAGTCAATTGTATAGGAAGGAACTTCAAAGGTATTTAGAATTGTAAATTTTGGGGTAGTGAATTTCATTGGGATTTTCATGTCCTTTAGTCTCTTAATATTTATCTCATAGGAGGGGACATGCAGATCAGTCAGTGGAACAATGAAGTCTGGTGTTCGAAATGTTGCTTCCCGAAGACTTCGGAGACTAACCTCAAAGGCAGGTATAGTGACTATAACAGTTCTGATTTCAGGGACTACAAATCCTGTTTCAACAAACTGGTTTAAATTTTCAGCCCAATTTTTTAGATCATATTCTTCAGCCAAAGCAACGATTTTATTAGAAGCTATGTTCCACTGATCAGAAATGTATATGACAACAGAATTGTAGAATTGGCTTATCTTCTGAAGAAACCACTGGAATTCCTGGGAAATATCCATTTCAGAAATCCTCTCTCGCAGGTCTTCCAGATGTTCATTCACCTTGGCTTTGAGATTAGCAAATGTTGTTGAGTTTATAAGCTCCTTGAACCAGTTAATTATTGCAGCAAGCTTGGTGTCCCTTAGTTGTTCCATGTATTTTGAAATCACAGCTCTAAAATCTCTCATATACTGTTTCAGTGCTTCTGCTTTCTGTGGGAGTTCTAAATTTCTTAGTTCCTCATTTATTTTCTGGGTCACTTCTCGGATTTTGTTATTTGTGTCATCAACAAATTGGTTATAGTCAAAAGACTTGAGCTTTTTAATAACCATGTCAAGGAACTTGTTGACTTCCTTTATCATCGTTTCATAATCAAAGGTTTGCACTTTCTTGACAGCATCATCAATAAAAGCAACAATTTTATCAAAGCATGACTTCACATCAATATTTTTCAGGTAGATGGTCAGTTTCTGGACAGTTTCTTTTATCCTGTACTGGTTAAGCAGTTCTATCATTCTGTCCATTAAAAAATAGACCTGCTTATCAATTTCATATTTTACAATCAGTTTGTGCATATGACCTCGGAAAGCACTGATCTTCTCAGATACTTCATACTCCTCCATCCAATTTAGAATAAAGTCTTTGATTTGTTCAAGAACTTCAGTAATTTTTTCAATTGGTAATGAAAGCTTCAATTTTTCTAAAACTTCTTTAGCATCAAACATTTTAATCTTTTGTTTCAAATTTTCTGCAATGCGTCTGACATCAATATTCTGAATCTGAATCTTGAGTTGTTCTAGGTTTTCCTGTATCCTAGCTGTAATCTTGTACTCATCATCTACATTTTTAATCCAAGCCAAAGTACTGCTTCCAATTTCGCTAGGATAATATTGTCGAAAAAAAAATTGCAATTTTTGAATAGTGTCAACTACAGTCATTCTTATCTTATATTTGTTATCTAGAGCTGTCATTGTTTCAACTATTTGATCAAGAAGCTGTGCAATAAGTGCTTTAATGTCATACTGCTCATAATGATCTTTGATATATTGCTCAATTTGTATCAGATAGACCTGCAGCTGAGATAGTATTTCTTGAAGGTTGTCCATGGCTTTTTCCAGCATAATTTGGAGATCATCAGATGTTATTCTGTAGTCCTTTGTGAAAGCAATCAAATTATTTTTCATGCTGTTAACTCTGCCTTTCATATCTAATTTGTCCATGTAATCATTAATGTTCTGTGGGAGTTTATCCAAAGTTGCCTTGTATTTTCTCATATGTTGTTCTATGTTGATGTTCTTCAGGTAACTTTGTATGGCCTGCAGCGTGGATAGAATGGTGCCTCTTATTCGTTCAAAGTAAACGGGCAAGTGTTCCAAGAATGGTAGGTTAATAACATGCATATCTTTATTTTTGTCATACTTCACAAAGCCAGAGAGGCTGAATTCTTGAAGCTCTGACACACTACCCCTGAGGCCCAATACATCAATTAAATTAACTTCTTCAGATGTGAATGGTAGTATGACTGATGTATCCATTACTGAGAGATCTGCTAAAGCTTTTCCACTAAGTTCCATACCGGTCTTTTCTGCATCATTGTAAGCACTGAGATCTTGTGAATATACATTATTGTTTAGCTGACTTTTCAATTTCCAAGCACTTGACTGCTCTGATGGAGTAAAAAGCATATGAACTTTGTTATCAAGCAGGGTAGTGTATCTTCCTCTAGACTTCAAGCTATGACTGGTAGATCCTCTGTAATCATGGGAGAAAGTGAAAGCAAGAGGCTCTGCTTTAAAGAGGAATTTGCTGTAAAGGTCTCCTGTGTGTTCACCCATAGCAATCAGTTTTCCGTTAGCATTGGTATGTATGTCAGCGGTGATAGCAAATGGGGCCATAGTGGAACGCACAGCATTGCTGAAACGGAGGGATTTAGAATCACAGTTTGTGTTCATAGTAACTGAGGAAGCAAGTCCTGCCACATTCATATTAACTCTGTGACTCACTGCTGCGCCTTGAACATTTGCGACGGTATCTGTTTTAAAGTTTGCAGCTAGCTCAGCATATGTAATGGTGTAGGTATGCCTTATTTCATCTGCTCCATAGGCTCCTCTGACATTGCCTCCCAAGTTCAGCTTCAGAGGCTCGAGAAGCAGTTCTGCTTTGTTGGAAACTTCTGCTTTAGTGTATTTAATGTTATTGCTCAGTTTAGCTGTGAGTGAGCTAGGCTGCAGTTGTAGATCAAAAACATGCTTGTGGAACTTGTCAAAGCTGAAGCTGTTGTCTAACTTCGAAGCAAATGTTAAAGATAATCCAGGAATATTCAAGTCATTTGTGTACTCCAACTTAATCTCTTTGAACGATCCTTGCAAATTATTTGAAAACTTGAGTCCTTCTCTATTAACTCTGAAGTTTAAAACATGCTTGTTGTCCATACCCAGAACTGTACTCTGATATTCACTTCCCAGCGTTATTTCTGTTAGGCTCACTCTTCCACCTAGATTGAATTTTGCATTGTTTTTACCATAGCGCCCAGAAGAGGATAGTGACATGGAGCCTCCAGCAGTATCAAGTTTGGCATTCATTTCGCTCTGCATTGTCAACGGACTAAACTGCACATTTGTGGTTGCGCTGCTGGCTAGACCGTACTGATTTACATTGAGGGATGACTTATGTGCAGCTCGATTCTTTTGATCAGTCATAGAGATATCAGAGTTGAAAACAAGATCCTGGGAATTGAGAGAACCTGCAAACAAGGCATAATACTGGGTTTGCTTGTTAGTGGCTTGGTACTCAGATCGAAGTGCTGCCATCTTCTTTGACAAAATTAATTCAAGCTTATTGACACCTGCAATATGTCGATACCTCCCATTTGTTTCAGATGTCATTTTCAGCTGGCTGTTTTCATACTTTAGTGAAGCTGTGTTCTTTAATAGTCCACTTTGTACATCAGAAACTGAAGTAATGGAAAATAAATCATCACTGTATCTGCTGGATATCTGGTTGGTAGCCTGAAGGTAAGAAGAATCCAACTTCAGATTTGATTTTCCTTCTAAAACCCGTCTCTTTTCATTGTATGAGCTTGACAGAGTGTAAATGCTTCTTGCAAAGACAGAAGCCACTTCCAGCTGCCCTTCCATCTTGACATTATTGATATTCACGTTATTCGTCTTTTCAGAAACAATATCACCAGAAAAGGAAAGCTGAGGACCCAGAGTACTGGATGCTGTAAGTGATACAGTGTAGTTTGCAACTGGACTAGGTTCATAAGTCTTTGTCCTGGCCAACTTAAAAACTGATGTTAAGAGTCTGTGCTTCAGGTGATTTTCATATGCACAGGTGAATCCATTTCTATTATATGATGCTTCTCCAGAACCTGAAATAGAAAAAAGAAGACAAAAGATAATGGTGTAATTTATACCTTCTTCAAAGTCTTTAAGACTTTGTCTGATGCCACTAAACTTTTATGTTACTGCTTGAATTGCAATTACTGTTACACCATTTTGCTTTAAAGGCCAAAATATTTTGGTAGATCCTGATTATTTCTGTAAGAATTGTTATTATTTTGATACTTGGGGCTAAAGTTTTGATCTAAGAATAAATTAAATCTCTACACTACTCTACTAAATATAATTACGTGAAATGACACAAAGTTATGTCTTTATTTAAACCAAAATTAAGAAGATGGACTCTCAAGAATAACCCATATCAAACATTCCTGTTTTTTAATGTTTTCTTTATTATGCTTCATTTATGATGGACAGTTTAGAAAAGACTGAAGTTAGCTTGTCCTTTTGCAATTTGAGAACTAAAACTGCAGTTTTAGAGAAACTAACTTAAAAATACCAGTCTTAAGACCTATACAGTCTGAGTCTGGGATAACTGCTGTGTATTTATGGCAGTATATGGACATATATAAATGACTAAAAGAAATCACATATATATATATTTCAAAATAGAGCAAGAAACAAACCCTGGGCGTACCTATGCATACACCTGCACACCTGATTTTGAAAGCATTTGACCGGTCAGATATACAAGTGTTTGTAGAATCATGCCTTCAGTTTTGAAGAACTGGGTTTCTTTAGTAGGGAATATCTAGTAGGAAAATATGGACCTTAAAAGTTTTTATTGAATTAAACTGCCTTCACCTTTAGTGCCTGAATAAACAGACTCACATAATATCTTTAAAACCAAAAAGAAAATCATTTGAGGTTATACAACAGCTTTTTTTAAATAAGCAACAGGAAAATGAACATGCTGTACCTGATACATAGAAAATAAAGTCATTAAAATAGTTTTGCCAACATTGCAGTATTAGCACACGTTCTTACCCTTCACACTGTAGGAAAGTAGCTCAAAAACTGAATCAGCGTTCGTGTTATAAGTAGTCTTTATGCTGGATGCTTTCTCTGTGGTGCTGTTAGCCAAAGTGTATGCTGCTGTCCAGTTGTAATAGTTGCTGTAGACATTAGCAGAGACCTCTAAAGTGCCAAGCAAAGGCACACGAAGAGGATAGGATTCTGGAACAGTAAATGTCGGGATTCTGTATTCCTGAGATGGCACACTTATTCCCATTGACTCCATTACCAGAGGAGGTGTTTTAACAGTCTGTGGCACTCTTATGTCATGGGATGATCTTCCACCAAATGGCAACGGGATATTAATTAGAAAGCTGTGTTTATTTAAGATGTATCTGATCCGGCCTTCACTAGAAAATAAAAGTGACTCTATTAGACACTGTAAATCCATGAAGCATATGCAGAAATTTCCATGATTCCTACTATTCCTATGATACTGAGCTGACTTACATGCTTATATCAATGTTCTGACTTTAGGTTTAGAGAGAAATGTAATGATCTTCTATGATTATCAGCATTTTTTAAGGTTAATGAGAATTTACTGAAAGCGCTTTTGATATCAGTGAATTCTGCCAGTGTTTTTCCCCTTATTTCATAGTCAAGGAGACTCATAGTTCAAGTAGTCCAGAAACACATTCTTTCTGTGAGACCTTGCAGTAGAATTCAAAGGTTCCTGATTCTTTGTTCAGAGCTTAACTAACTTTAGCTCCCAGGTGGAGGGTGTCATTCAAGGGGCTAAATACATTACTTTTATGAACCTTGCATTTGATTTTCTACTTTGAGAATATAAATCTGCTTTATGCACATTAATGAAAAGATGTATTGGCATGAAAATGATGCTTAAAATGAAGGAATTTGAATTAAAGTAGCTGACATATAGGAAAAAAAATCCTCCAAAACCACTGCAGCACTTGTACAATGTGGCATGCTGAGTACCAGAAAAAGGCAATTATATTCTTCTTAAAACAAGCGATGTATTCCTATAGAAATGTATGAAAAGTCTTGTTAGCATTAGAAGTTGTAAGAACCTAAATTACAAAGAATTTCTCTTTTTGACAATAAGCATTTCAAAAAGTTTCATCCGAATATTCAGCATTTATTTCATTCTGAATAGAAATAAATAGAAATCTAACCATTTGACCAGGAGCTAGGACTGGAAAAAATGGATTGTCAGCTGAAAAGCTTGTGGGCAAAAAGTGTAATTATGAAAAGGCAAAACAGGAGGAAATTCGACCTTAATTTGAGCATGAACAATAAGCTGGCAAAGATGCTTTTATTGTTTGCCTAACTGGTCTTTTATATTACAAAATCTTGTTTTTTACACTTAGAGCTACATCCTAAAATTGAAATTAAGGAAACATTTTTGAAATTTGTTCCTTTGCATCAATGGTTAAAAAGCAACATCACAGAGCAGTAAAAATTCCTATTATTATTATTATTATTATTATTACTATAATGCGCACTACTGATAAGAATATAGGAGAAAAAACAGTTTTTTCCTTGCTTATACTTAGCTTAGGAACACAATGGAAGCAATAGAGCTGTGTGTCATTAACATACAGTTTCATATTGCCACAGCGAAAGATAGTACATGGAAAAACAGCACTAAGAGAGATAAAATGCAGGACTCTTCTCCATCTGTTTTTGTAATCCAATCTTACACTATCTTCTGTTGTCTTTTACCTTCATTTCAGCCATCCATATTCCCCTAGCTCATGTGAAAAGTATACAGATATGTTTCTATTTATCACAGTGGTAGCTGTGGGTGTATTCTGAAGATACTACCAAGCAACACTGTTCCTTGAATCCTTATGCATAGGCAGAGCAGCAATGTGATATGAACAGTAACTGGCAAGAACAATAAGTGCTAGGAACTGTAAGGAGAGCAAATCCTGGCAGGTGCATGAGCATTTTAGAAATCTAGATCCATTCTGTCTGACTTATAGCCTAATTTCCTAGAAACAGAAGAAATAGACTATTTATCTGCCTTCCAGTCTCTCATTTGTCAAACCCTACTTTTTAGAAATTTTTAACATATTGGATGTTTTCTGTCAAATTGGACAGAAAGGTAAAAGCCTGACGGGTAATTACATTCATGTAAGTTTTGTAGAACTCTCTGTTAGGTGGAGGAGATGGGCCCAAACGAGTGCAAGCATTCAGTCCACATGTGTACAACCATGGCATGTGTTGCCTCTGAGCAAGTGACAGATGGAGTCAGACAGAATTCAGGGTACTATATTGGTAGAGGTCAACCAGTATGTGTAGGGGAGTGGGAAGAACTGTCCAGTAGGACTGCACAGGAAAAAAGTAGAGATATTAGGGTTATGGCCAAAGACCATAACCATCCTGCAGGGATGCAGGACACAAATCCATGCGAAACATGGCTTCATTAGTTCTGTGCCTTAGAGTAAAGATTGTTCAACACCGTATTTTTTTTTTTTCAGTTCTCATTACTATATAAGACAATACTTCAGGATATATTCATAAACTGCAGGAGTGACTGTATTAAAGATATGCATCATTTTGTCCATATAATTTAATCTCTGGTCCTAAAATTCTTTGATATGATTCCAATTTCATGCTAATATTTACAGCAATTCCACGCTATTTTATAAAACAAAATAAAATAAAATAACGGAAAAATAAGAGCGAATATCTATTTTCAGTTTCCTGTGCGACTATCCTAATTTCTCTCCCTACCTTTTCAGGAAAAGTTCTTCAGGAATGGTAATAACAGGCAGGTTAATTTTCTGAATGTTCAGTTCCTGCAGTCCACTTAGTTTGTCTTGCAGAGTCTGGGCATAGGGGACATCTTTTGATGCCTTTTGCAGCCAGGTGTTGGTTGCCTGCAAAGAGGAGACAAGTTTTTCAACGTAAATAACAAGTTTTAGGACTTTCCAGTAAGTTATCTGAAAGCCATCGTAACTATCCATATACTGAGTCCTAGGCATCTGATAAAGTGACTGGCTCGATCAAAGTTGGAAATACACATCTTACTCAATCTGATGAGTGCTTTTACAAGTAGTTCCCATTTTGGCTTCAACGGGGGAAGCATGAATTCACCAGGGCTATGTGGTGAAACTGTAATATCTACTGTAAGTTGAAACATACCACGATAAATTGTGACACAATATGTCGCAGTGTCATATCTGTGTGAGCCACTTTCCGATCCAGCAGTTCGTTGGCGTGCTTCTCTAAAGCTTTTGGGTAGTCTGAAAAGTCAACTGAGAAGCCAGAGGACATCTTTTTCACAGCAGCACTGGCGCCTGAATTCCACTCTAGCTCAACTTTCTCTGAATCTGAAAACAATGAATTTAAAAGAAAAAGGTAAGATTACTAATATTCTTATTCTATTTAGGGATATACTATAAAATAATGTAATAAGATGTTTAAATTTATAGGTTGTACATGCGGATCATGTTTTTTGCCCCTACCATATCTGAGAAGAACTCTTTCTGAAACTGAGTTTCCATGAGTTGTTGCAGCTGTGCTCATCTGAAGATATCCTTTGGTTGGTGAATAATTAACCAATGCTTCAGTTCTAAGTTCAGTTTGCAGGCGGGGAATAGAAATGGTGCCACTTAACATGGCCTCTTCCATTCCAGCATATCTGTGAAAGCAAAAAGTAAATGTGAATATAGAACATTTAACTCTAATTTTTTACTTATGTTTCAGGAGCAATTTCAGCATCTAAATCTATAGTAAAGGCATAATAGTTGTTATAAAAAATAAGATTGAATCAAACTTGTAAACTCTGTTCCAATTCAATTAATGTTTTCAGCTTCTGCTAGTTACTTTAGGAAATCCATGGTAAATTATCATAATGCTACTGTGCAGATACAATAATAATTCCATATTAATTCCATAATACTGAAATGGATGGAAATATGTACCTGTCTTGGTAAAGTACCTGAACCAAATTCTGAACTCCTTACTCAGGCTGAATTCTCTACTAAAGGATACAGACTGTGGCTATGAATTACATAGAAACAAAACACTTGACAAAATATACTATGCCACTGGGCTTCATTTTCCTTTATTCGCATTTATTTTATATCTCTGTAACTTTGTTGACTTGAGCAAACTTCTAATATTATGTTAGTGCAAATGAAAGGGAATTGAGGTCCCTGACATCTGTCCAAAGCTCCCACTGATATCAGAGGCAATTCTGCATGAACAGCAAAGACAAAGACTCCCTGGGGCACCATCAAGATCACAGAATTCCATGGAAGATTGAGGTTTATTAAAGAATGTGATCAGCTCATTTCACTATGGGCTTGTGAGGCAGACAATTTTAGAAACCCTGGCAGGCTGAACATTTTTGTTAGCTCCCCTGTAGATGTTCCCGGAAATATTCTCATCGTGAAGCGTGGGAATTTTTACAGGAAGCTCTCAGCTATTTTTGGTTTTGTTGCTTATTGAGTGCCATTAGATTTTTTCATGGGGAGATGTAATAACTTTTTTTTAGAGCCAAACATAACCAGTAAACGATAATACCTCTCTGAACAAACCTTGCCTTGTTTATATCCTTGGATTATCACACCTGCAATAACACTAGTACAATGTCATTCTTGTAGTCATGTGTGTGCAAACATGGAAAAACAAGCTCAAGGAAGTTGTAATACAAATTATATATATACATATAGTAGGAAAGATCAGTTGGTGCATTAGATGTATTTATTTGATGTACACGTGTTGGATCACAAAATACTTCAAGGGTTTTTAAAGAGAGCTTGAATGACAAGTTTATATGTCTCTCTATATAAGCAATTTCTCAAAAATGGGATAAAATTTTCCCAAATTTTCTACCTTCAATAAAACCTTCAGTTATCTTATTCAAAGGTATCTGTAAAAGTCTAAGTGGCTTTCTGAGTTACCTTATCTGGCCAGTAAGAGTAACTTCAGAAATCTTCTTGTTGTTAAAGTCTAAGACAAAAGTATATGCTTTCTTCCCAGAAATGGATTCATCAGTAATTCTGAAGTTTGTACCAAAGTCAACATCAACATCTGGAACGTGGACATCACTGGTCAAAATCTTTCTGTCTCTGTTGTACCTGAAGGTCAATGTAGCCTCATGTTGCTTTACGCCTAGAAAATATAATGTAATTTGGTTATTCACAACTATGGAATCTGTTTGGACTTTTCTTAAAAGGAGAATAAAAAAGTATCAACTGGAAATTATACCACCCTGAAGATCTAACATAGCTTTTGATGAGTCTGAATCAGAAACTGGGTCATCTTTTTTCTCCTCATCTTCTAAACCTATGATGGGCTAATCCACTAATCCCGTCGCTAGTTTTGTTGTGTGAACTTGCCATCCCACAGATTCTTCCTTTGAAAAATTTGCTGTTTATGTAGTTGTTCTCAATTTGTATGCTTTACTTCTGTAATTTATCAGAAATTATATTTTTCTCTTGCTTATATAGAACCCATTGACTTCTCTTCCTTCCTTCCTTTCGCCAACATCAAACTTTTATTTATATCATGGGGAAGCATTATTGGGATAAAATAATCAGCCTCTGATCATGAAAATCTTGCATGAAAATCTTGATTGTACATGTGAAATGAAATGTGAGTTAAAGCGGTGGCTTGTTTAGGTGTGAAAATGGTATTCTATTTTATACTGTAAAGAATTCTATTATGATTTATTCCTATAAATCTTTTTCCCATTAAATGACATGGTTCAAAATTGAGTTAACCATATGTCTTTTTCAGACTCTTACCTTCTGCCTGGACAGCAAATTTTAAGGTGTCTATCAGGTCATTTCCCTCTCTCTGCAGGTCATAGTTTGCACTTGCGGAGTATTCCTTCACTTCACCTGTGGACACTATTTCAACTTCAAATCTAAAGAAGAAGCAAACATACGTCTTGTAAATAACTATTTTGTTGATGACCAGAAACAGGAGCAGTCATACAGTTTACAATAGCTCTCTTTCTGAGCTGCTCCTGGTAGCTTATTTTTAAAGTTTTTAAAGGTAAGGGTTGTGTAGTTAGTTAATACAAAATAAACATAGTTAAAGCTGATATGACTAACCTGGATTCTCCAGTCAAGGGATAATATGGAGCTGCCTCTGTGGCACTGGCATTAGAGTACAGTAATTTGGTGCAGTAATTTAGACCAGCAATGAAAGGCTTGCAAGATGTCCAGGTTTCTCGATTCTCGATCAGAGGTGGAATCTCTTCAGTTTTGGCTGGAGACACTAAATGTAGAGTATTGCTGGAACAGAAAAGCGAGCCATTTATTCCCAGGACAGGTGTTCAGACATTGTCCTGCTAATGAGGTTACTTTCCGAATAAAAATCACTGATTAAGGTAAGGGCTTAATGAAATAACATTTAGTGGTTAAATGATTACAAGTTTTATTATTATAATAATTATTATTGATAACTATAATTCTGTGTATTAAGCCATTTACCCTCTCTAAAATTAAGTAGTTCATTTAAATTCACTCTAAAAATAGGTATTGCTATTACAATAATTTTATGTGAAAGAACACAAAAGTATAGAAATTTTAAGTCTTGTTGAAAATCTCAGAAACTAGTGACAAATTAATCTAAGCTTTGACTCTCAGTCACCACTTATCTGAGCTATTTGCTTACCTTACAAAAGAAGTTATCCAAGTTTTACAATATCTTGGATTTTTCTGGACTGAAAATTTTTCCATGCCTGCCCTAGCCTCTCAATTCCATCACAATAAAAACCAAGAAGAGAGGGGAAGAACATAGCCTTGAAAGTTCTCATTCAGTTCTCATTACCTGATACTGAGGAGCTTTGTGGGAGTCTTCGGATCAGGAATGCTGAATTTCAGATGTCCAGCTTTCATACTCACATGTGCTTCAATTCCAGACTCATGGAATATATTAGAATTCATCTCCACACCACTTCTAGCAAATTCAGGCATGTTTATTCCCAGGTGTGTTACAAACTCAATTGCTACTGAAGGTTTAGCAATGAGTTCTGCTTGCATCTATTTAATAAAAACAAAACACTATATTTATTTGCCCAATACACTTCTTAATAGTTTTATAAAACAAGTGTAATATACTTGATAAATTAGAGGTAGGTTTTATATAATTGGTTTTGCTATTCAAAAAATTTGATTGCCAAGTGACATAAGCAGAGGGACCACGTAAGTGGTAACAGTAATGTAACAAATACAGCAAGATGATAACACAAAGGAACCTTACCTACTTTAATGTAAAAATACTCATGCTTCAGAAAGATTTTGTACATGGAGTTACTTGCATGTATTTTTAAATCTGAAGACAAGAGCCAGTTTTCCATTGTAAAAAAACATAGCAATTTTCAAAAACAATGAGTAAACTGTTTGACAAAAAAGAAATGAATCCAAGAGTTGAATTTCTCTAAACAGAAACCAGCTTATTTTCAAGCTTTTGGTTTGGCCATTACAGAAAGAAGGGACAGAATGCAAAATTCTGGAAAAGACTCCCAAGGTAACTAAAAGGCAACCACTACTAAATTTGAGGCCATATTTTTTTGTTTTTCCTTAACTATTGTATATCATGGAAAATTAAAAGTTTAGGTACTGAAACTATTGAGAAATCTATATAAAATATTGATTAGAGAAAAATAGTTATTAAAACTGGAAAAAAGAATGGAAATATTAAGGGTTTTTTTTTTATTTTAACTGGATAATTAATTTTGTGTCATACATTCTTTACTTGTTACAATTTTAAAATGTTTCCTATCAGATTAAAAAATGTTTCATTTAACTCAATTTTCAATATTTCTTTTAACTGAAAATCAAAATTTTCACTTTGAATTGGCCACATCAAAAATTTTATTAACTGTTTGGTTTGAACAGCAAATTCACATGCTATAGCTTTTGTACTATTCTCATTTGAGAGCTGGGAGAAATAAACAGCAATTAAAAAGGATTATTTTTTAAAAGATGATTAAAATACTTTTAATTCATAAATTTTATTATGACTCATACTTAATTTACTATATGTATTACTTCTTACTTCAATGTGAATGTCATTCACAAATTAACTGGAGACCTCTAATAAGTAAGGGTTTTTTTTCATTTCAAGAGTATTTAAAATTCTTCTGGTGTTACAGTTTTATCCCTAAATGAGATGGTAAATTATTAGGAGGACACAAAATAAAGACAGCTTTTAAGACTTACAGTTTTTTGATGAAGCTTTACAGCTACTTTGGCTCCAGGTGTCGCTATTCCAGACAAGGCAAACTTCAGTTGTAAACCTGCTCCAGTTGGAAGCTCAAACTCATTGTCCATGAACATGTAGTGGACAAATAAATCCCTGTCAACACCTTTTGAGATGGCTTGTGCAATCTGTGAATCAAACAAGGAAATGAACACTAACAAATCTACACTGTGGCATATGTACATTTCATACTTTAAAAATTCATCATGGAATGACTGTAACTATATAATCCAAAAATTAATTTCACATAGAGTACAAAAACTAATTTCTACAGTTTCCTTGCTTTAAAAAAATGTACTAAAGACTGTTTATCAAACAGCTTTAACCGAATACTAGATTTTATCACCTGTCTTGATACACACGGATCAGCTACCTTGACATACACATACAAAGGTAAATTGGTTTAGATAACATGTAACATTCTGGCTTCCCCAAAGTCAATGGGAAAGCATTTCTTTACTTCAATGAAATAAGGTTTTTACCAAATATTCCTAAACTGTACTACATGTTCCTTTCTTTTAAACATGACAAATTATTGCTCAATATACATTTTAATAATGAGAAATTTACTAGTATTACATAATGGCCAACAATAGGATTTTGGGCATCGTTCCAGTAGATATCTCAATCATACAATAAGATATGAACCTTCCATTTTTCCTTCCCGTTACCTATCTTCCAGGAGGACCCCACTTGGTTATTCAGCAGTCTTCATAGGTTTCTCAGAGTCCTTCAGACTAATCTAGATATTTTATTTTAAATAATTTTATTTTCATGCTGGTACCAAATATTCATTCTTTACATCATAGATAAACACAACCTAAATTTTAAAAAAATATTGTAAAAAGTCCCCAAATTAATAATACACATTGGTGCATCAGAAACATACCGTTTCGGGAATAGTCTGAAGAGTTTTAATGCTCTTTAAAATCATGCTTCCCAGCAATTTGAAATCATTGAGTTTCATGTACCCAAGTTCTTCTCCCAGGATTCTCAGATATGCTTTTCCTTCAGGAGCTTCCTTGTTGACCAATTCTTTTATCAGTTTTTCAAGGTTAAGCATTATTCCTTTCATGAGATCCTGAAGATTCAGTCAGAAAGTAGTAAAACATCAGATAATCTGCACGTGCACTTCTTACAGATTTGTCTCCAGACAAAGGCCCCTCCCACATACAATTAAGAAGAAAACATTATTAAATAGCATTAAGGATTTCTAAATAGAAATAGAAATAGAAATAGCTTACCAGTTGACGAGAAGGCTTATATACAATGAAGAGGGAAGTGATGTAATTATTGTGTAAAGATAGGAATGCTGTGCCGCGCAGAGAATGTTTTCAAGCTGTACCTGATCCTGCTTGTCATCCTGGGAGTAACCGAAGTAGTCAAAAAGCGCCTTGGAAACCTGCTTTGGCACTCTGCCGTCAACCCAGTACAAGGCCTTGCTTGCGGTGTCTGGGAAAAATCCCTTCTCTCCAAACAAAGCTTCCAGTGTTGGTTCAAACCCCTTTCCATCCAAGCCAAGCTGAAATGAAGAGGACAATGCAATAACTGAGACACCTTCCCCACTTCTTTGGAGTTTTGCAACAAACAGACTTCCTGGGGAACAAACAAAGCATTTAAAGTGTATCCTACAAGTCTATGATTCTTAAGGGAAAATACAGAGTACTAAGTCTTATGGTTAGTTTTATCTCTGAGGTGAGGTCCAACAAAAAACCTACACATAGCCTGCATCTCGCTTAAAGTCTACTATGACTACTTCAGTGTGCCAGCAACGATTCATTAGCATGAAGTCAATCTGTTACAGATGGGTTCATTTCACCCTAAGCTGAGGCCTTTAATAACATGACAGGGTCGTCCATCCAGTCAGTGGTAAGTGACATCACAAAACGGATGGCTTGCTCTAAAGCCTGTTGAGATCAAATGAAAGTCCCCTTGTAAGCATAGTGACCTTTAGAATTCTCCCAAAGCTTGTAAAAACAATGCATTATTCAGAGAAAGTTGTTATAAGCAAACAGAAATGAGAAAGAAACCAGCTGAATTAGGTTTTGATAATTGTTGTACCTCAAAGATATCGCTTGGACCAAATCCATACACATTCAGGGTGGTTTTCAGCATAGTCTCTTTAGGAACATAGCTGTTCGGATCAAATACCACATTTCCCTCTACTTTGGCAGAGACAGGATCAACTCCAGGTACAGAAACTCTTTTGGAAATCTGATAATTTTGTGAAAATTTTCTGAAATCTTTGGCTGTTGGAACCTGGTTTCCTTTCAGAGCTTCTTCAACTCGGCTTTTTAGACTAGGAAAGAAGATAGCAATACAAATATGATCAGTATACATTCCAGAATCACATTTAGTCTTTGTTGAGGGATATCTTGTGTCACTTGCAGGTATTCACACAACTGAGGTGACTGTAAATGGTTATCTCTCTGCACATAGTAACAGTAAAAATAAGACTTAAGGGAAAGACTGTAAGCTGGCTCTGCTCTGACAAAGCCATAGATTTACTCAGCTGATGTGCTTGCGCAAACAAAGAAAACAAACAAGCAAACAAAACTGCAAGCACTGCTAAGTAACTACCACTGCAATTATGGTCAGAACTTTGTTCTTCCTAGGAGACCAGTATATAACTAAATTTTACTTACTCTTCAATGCCTACTTCTTCAGAGTCTAGGATGTTGGCAATGTGTGAGGCAACAAAGCTTTTCACTTGCTCATTCTTCTCCTTTGTGAGGACTCTCAAAATCTTTGCGAGATCACTTGGGGAAGGATCTTTCATCAGTATGAGATATGCAGCTAGACGTTTGTCTGTAGGTGCATCTCCTTCTTGGAAAGCTTTCAGAAGTGCTGAACGATCCTGTATAAATAGAGAAAGGTTTGCACTGATAAGCTGGCTAGTAGATGATACTGTTAAACTCTTTTGGGAATATATAAGGTGAAATAATTTCCAGGATGTAATTTCTTCAGGACCGCGTAACTATTTCTATACCTTATTTCTATAACTGACCAAAAATGTTTCACTGAAGCTATTTTGATAAAGTTTCTTGTGACAGAAAATGTCATAGAAATTATGGTTTTGATAAAACTGATTTTCTTATCCTGTATCTGCCAGGTTACTTTTTTGTTTAGAATACCGAGTTTTGATTGTTGGGAATAAGAATTGTTCTGCTTCGCAGACAGATTCTCGAATTTTGGAAAAAAGATCATTCAGTTTAGGAAAAGAAGATGATCAAAATCTCCTGCTGCAGGAAAATTAAACATAGTTTGAAAATAAATAATACTAAAAAAAATAAATTGAATCTGAGGATGTAAGCTCCAGGTGTTCCGAGGCTCCCAGACTTGTTAAGCCTTGTCTGGAAACAAGAGCACTTTGTAGATATTGAAACTGTTTCACTATACTAAGCTGAAGTGCTCTGTATAATGACATCCATTCTGTAGGAGGTGCTTTAATGTCACTGTAACGTAAACATAAATCTAACCAGTACTATTAATAAGAATGACAACAAAATGCCAGTATAAAATAGGGACTTGATATTTTCTTAGTTAATTCCATTTAAATCGGGAGCAATTTGTCAGTTAAAACCACCTCTAAATAAGTAGAACTCCATTTAAGACACTCTAACAGGAACAGATCCAAAATTCCCATTTAAACTGAGACTATCTATACAAAGCAACTGCATCTCAAAGGAGCAAGTCAGAAGTCTAGAGAACTTCTCAGATATGTGGATGGAAATTAAAGTAACTAAAGGAATTCTAAAAAAGCTGGAGATGGCTAAAAGGGAGATAGCAAAACTATGAAATAATAGGAAAATTTTTGCATATTCAATAACTTCTGTGAACAGTCAAGGTGAACTGAAGACAGTTTATGCTGGTTCCTGTGACCCAGTTTACCTCTTCAGTAATAGTCATTTTCCTGAATGCCTGGATGGCTGCTTTCTGAACTGAAAGTGATGCAGCTTCACTTCTGATACATGTCTTAAGGAAAGATTTCAGGTTGGGTTTAGCTTTCTCCATTACTGCACCCATGTTTCCAATAGCCTGTCAGTGATGGAAACACAGAAAGATGTTAAACATTTATTCTCCACCAAGAGGAGTGCAGTAACATATGTGCTTCAATTTAAAATAATAGCCTGCATAAGGAAATAAAAATACCCGAAGTGTGAGGTATGTGAGTTCATCTTCCCCAGAGCAATCAGTGCCAAGCAGTGATACCATGAAGTCTGCAACGTCTGTTATTTCCTCTGTCACAATCATCTTCTCATTGTAGAACCTAAGTAGAGAAACACATTAGAAACAAAAGCACAAAATAGGAAATGTCTATTTATTTTTTATTCCCAAAGAGCAAATTCATGAGAATAACAAAAAAAATTCTCAAAAAGTGACTACTCTTAGCGTTTACTTTAAGCTTTGTAACGTTTTCTTGAGGCTATTTTGTACAATTACATGCTATCATTACTTACTTAGTAACAGAATGACTCAAGCCATAGAAAGAAGCTCTACTTGGCTGATACTGGGCCATGTTAAGAATTTCCCGTATTCTTTTTGGTGTTGGAGAAGGTAATAGTCCCAGGGTATATGTGACCAGATCTACCACAAGTGGATTCACATTTCCAGTTCTCAGTATTTGAAGGACTGCACCGTAGCACTCTGGAGTCCCGCACTGAGTCAGGGCTTGAACTGTGATGGAACTGAAAGGAAAAGAGATGACTTTGATTAATTAATTCCCTGTTTGCAGTTATCACTGCATGCTGCACGTTTGAAATAAACATTTGACAGGTTTATTCAGTTGTTTTAATGTAAATGACATATGCCTATGCGTGACTGGAAGCAAATCACACAGTAGCTTATCAAAAAGAAGCTGCTTAGTTTTACAAGTTATGGTAATAACACAATTAGCTGTGAACAACAAGAAAGTACTAACAATACTATCATTATACAGACGTATGACTTTTTTTCTCCACAACAGACTTTCCCACAACTTTAAGTATTATAGAATAATATACTGAACCATACTGAGGCTCTAGTGCGTCTACAGACTGAGGACATAAAGTACGTATAAATTGACTGAAGTCCAGCCAGGGCAGAAGAGTAAGGGTGGGGACTGGAGGTCATGGTCAGACCAAAGAATTGTGCCTTTCCATGTCTCCAAAAATCTCACTTTCAAAACTGTGTTCTTTGCTATAAGTCAGACTTGGGAGTTTGGAATTACAGGCATTGTCCTTGAGAATGAAAGATATTTGGCCATAATAACATATCCAAGGATCGTGCCTGGTATACATGGTTGGGATGGTGGTGGTGAGAAAAACCCTGCAGTGGGCTGTTATACTCTAATTTATGGTTCAGCTTCTCCGATAAGTTTGGAAGATTTGATGGGGGAATAATCAAAACAATATTAGTTCTTCATAGAAGGCTAGAACTTTCAGATCTATTTGAGTTCTTATACTGTTGTCATATATTTAATGTTAAATTAATTCCAATTAAATGAGCATTTCTGATGGAAAAATGTGAAACCCACAGGTTTTACTCTCTCTTCCTTATTTCTCTCTCTAGATAATTCTGATGATACTTATCTTTCTGAAAGACACTCTTTACATCTAATTAACCTCTAATTTAAAACCATTTGCAGCAAATCATCAACATTAGAATGGATTTGCTATGGCATTGACATGTGGTGTACTTGCACGATGAACTGTTGTAACATACCTTGAAGTTTCCATCATCTTGGGTACAAGAGAGCCAAGAGTGGTGTTATGTAAACTTCTAAGTCCAGAAACAAATTTGTAAAAGAGCCTTGCTCTCTGCTGGTTCTGCTGGGAGGCTGTAAGTTTCTGCAGTTCCTGAAGGATTTTCAGAACAGAATCCCCCTGCCTAGGAAATTTGGCATCTGTACTTTCTAGTGCAAGTCCTTTCTCTTCCAGTTCATCTAGCAATTAAAAAAAAATAATTGCATTCTTTATGTCATTATCAAGGACCTATGTTAATTCTTACCTCCTGTCATACAGTCAGTATAAATATAAAATCTGTAGGTTGTTTTATATGAAAATTGTTGAAGTTTAACAGCTGAACAGTTTCTAAAAATAATGGAATGGAATTTAAATGTAAATGTTCCAAAAAATTAATAATAATGCCTATTTGCATAAAATCTTGAAAATTTTTATAAAGATGATTCCTTACTACCTTTCATATTAGCACAGTTTGATTTTTCAACTTTTAATGAAAATATCTTAGGAGAAATATGTTATGACTAGGAATAACAACTGCATCTCAAATTATCGTGTTTTAGAACCAAATGTATTGTAGTCATGGACTGTTTACATTTGGCAGCTGAAGCTAAAAGTTGCATAAGAATTTATGGTTAGCTAAAAAGGGATCATGAAACTAATTTCCAATGAGATTAAAATTATTGTCCAAGTAAAATATAACTTTTTAATTATAATGAATAATTTCAAAATTAAAATGAAAAGACAAAGATTTTCAAATTACAGAGTGATTTTAAACTTTTCAGGTTTTTCCATTTTATATCCCAATCTTTTTCCTGACTAAATTGATCAAATTTCATTAAAAATTATAATTTTTTTTGTCCCATCAACTGCATCATTAATGAATTCACTGTTTAAAAAAAATGTTGTCCTTTTATTTATATTTTGTCCCTGTATTTGCGTTATTGAGAATTTCAGCTATACCTCCATCAAAATTTCTGTTATTGATTTTCGGGGTATCTTCAAGCTTCAGTGTCTGGTTGACCTCTGTCATCACACCATAGCGATTTCTGGCAAACAAAGAAATATTTAGTGCTTTAGTTGAGTTTAAGTACCTTTGAGGCTTCTTGCCATGCCTTCTGCCTCCTTGAGAACAAAATGTATATTTAGGGATGAAGTCAGGGCAGAATGTGGTACATCACCATTCAAAATTAATGTTTATAAAGAAAGGGTATCGATAAATAGCAAGCAACCTACTTGTATGAGGAAGGCAGAAACAAGTGTTTTTCACTGCAGACAGCATCCCTTATATGCCTTTTCTTTGCATCAATATTGTAATGACAGAATTGAGTGCTTCTTAGAAGGGTAGATAATGGGACGTTCTGTAAAATAAATAGTTTGGCAGTCATTTTACTGAATGGTATAGGAAACAAACATAGCTTTAAAGGCTGCCACAGTTTTCCTGTAATATTAACAGTTACAGCATATTGGAAACAAAGGTGCATAATTGGAATCATTCTCACACAAAGACAAAATTGTGCCAGCATCAATCTTTAGTCCTAAATCTCTTCACAGGCAAAAAATCCCACTGAAATTTTCCCTCAGGCCTTACTGAGGTGTTTGGCTTAGTAGTTAATTCATGACTGATCCCCTGCTGCCTACAACAAAGGACTCCTTCATAGAAACTAGTCTGTAATTTTTAGAGTAGTTCAGGCTCCTCGTAACAGCTGATGCTCTTTTTAATTTCACTCTTATTATACATACTTTAAAGATTTCTACAACAAGCTGTAAAGGTGGCAGAAATTATAAAATGTGGGTTTTTAGCATGATATGAAATCTCAATTTTTTTTTAGGGAAAACACTCAAAAATGCAGATGCCACAATACCAGGAAGAAATTTGCCAATATTCATGCAAGCAACTGCACTTGATCATTGCGGGTTCGCAGGTAGCCTGAACAGCATGTCAAACCATTTACCATTTAAAACCCTCTCCTCCTGCACCTCACATACACATGAGGGTTTTGGTGATGTTTTACATGAAATGGGAATGTTGAAAATTTTGACTCACAAAATTAAAAATTTTGATATGATCTGATAGGTTATCATGCAACCAATAGTACCCACTCCATCTATGAAAAGGTCTCTTTTAAAAATTCATGAGAAGAACATGAAAGAAGGTAATTACACTCTCTGCATCTGTTTTTCTCTATTAACTGCCAACAAAACCGCAGTCTGATCTAACGCAAGGGTGCAGAAAATCCATTTAAGCTTTTAGAAAGTAAATACAAAATTTAGTGGTTATAGTAGTTGTTTAAGTGATGTAGTGAAAAATGTTATATGATAGAATTTTTAATGGTATACTTACTAATCCCTTTACAATGGCAATAGGGCTGACATAATCTCTGATGGGACTGAAGTTGTCACAGGCTTTCAGGTCCCTGTTAATTGAAATATCTTCTGCAACATTTCCTTTTCTAGATTTGAATTCAACTTCACTGTCACACTTTCCATATACAGTATCCTGGAAAGAAGAAATAAGTCAGTGTCTCTGTTCATGCTCTCACACATTTTCTGATCGAGCAGAAAGGCACCCTTTCTCATCTGAATTTCCAGGTCTTTCGCAAATTATGTTCAGGAGTAACTCTACTAGGTGAGGTGTCTTCCATTTGTTAAGGAAATAAGGTGAATGCTTTTCAAAATACCTACCATGGAAATTGTTTTTACGTTTTCTACTGTTTCTGTTGGCACAAGTAGAGCTGAGATGATCCCTCTCTTGAGATTCAGTACATTCAGAGGTTCATCCTTCTCTGGATACAGCTTGACTTTTGTTCCATCCTGCATGCTGAATTTTAGCTCATGTCTGTTCAAAAAAATCCCCAATGTTAGTATGAAATCACGTTAAAGCCACCCAGTGAAGAACAGGTTATCAATAAACTGCTGGGCTATAGCATCATGTTTATCTTGGTCTATCATTATTTACTATTCACTGTTGTTCCTATTACAGAGCATTACTATTAAAGCAGCAAAATTCTAACCAAGGACATTCTGATATCACCAGACTACGTCACCTAAGGACAAGCAAATATCAAGAGCAATGGCTGGAAGTTGGAATTGCACAAATTCAGAGAGGAGATAAGTAAATTTTTAGAATAAGGTAATTATTAACTACTGCAATAGGCTACAAAATGATGGGAAGGATTCTCTACTAGTTGTAGTCTTCAAAGAAAACCTTGACTGCTTTCTGAAAAACATATTTTAACACTGTCTCAAGCTGTTTTGAGATCTATTGCTTGTGAAACAAGATGGAGTGGATACTGAGGCATTGAACCAAGCGTGATGGTGCATGATTAAAACATGGACTGACAAGCACTGGAGACTAGTTGGGTGGAGGAAGTAGTAGCAACAACTTACAAAAGCAGATAAGTAAGGAAAAGATAAGTTGCTTAAGTCATTAAAGATCATGATAGGAAACCTGGACTTCAGTCTCAAATGCCCTTCTATTGCACACTCTTAGTACCATGTCAGCAAAGGAAAATTATCTTAAAATGTCTGCAGATAGCCTTTTGAGAATTTGCTTACAAGAAGGAACATTCGACTTGCAATAATCTTTTAGGGGACTACCCAACAGTTTCCTGATATAGATGATATAAATGACAAATACGTGCCAGGTGAAAATTCTGGATAGAAAAAAAACTTCCGTCCTAGCAACTGAGAACTGTGCCAAGTTAGCCCTAAATTATATCAAGGAGTTTTACTGTGGAACCAGCTTATAAATCTATCACGTTATCTTGAAATGTGTTCTATGCCTGAAAAAACATAGTCAGGGTGGACTGTAACACTGCAGCCTGTTCCATGTTGAGGCTACAAATATTGATGATAATTGATATTGCTTACTTGGACATGGCATTTGCAAAGTCTTCAGAGTTCTTTGACTTTTTCAGCATGGCCCTTCCCTCAGAGTCGACACCAAAAGTCTCCCTCAGGGAGCAATGCATTGTCCTCAGGATGAAGTGGCACAGCTGTGGTACCTCCAGTTCAACCTGAAAACACAAATATGATGTGTTTATCCTTTTTTCATTATCATGCTTCCAGGATCATCCAGTTACAGTTTTGGAAATATGGTATTCCTTGGGTTTTGTAAAGTGTCAGAATCACCCTGCTAGCAGCTGTTGGGAAACATTCCAAAGTACTCTAAATAGCTTAAGGGAACAAGGGAGAAGATATGAAAGTAGGTATTTGCTTGGCTAATGGCATGGAGTATACTACGTACATGGTAAACAAGCAACTTCGGTTCTGAAAAATTACAGCACTAGAAGAACTGTATGAAAACTTGAGTCATTACAGTGATCGATGTTTAGACTCTGTCAGAACAGTGTGTGCTAAATAAAAAATATTTTCCCCAGTTACTCCATTTCAGAAAATAATTGATGGGAAAGTTTTGGGCAAGATGGAGGGACACTGGGTAGTTTAAAGGCCTACGAGAACTTTTACTCCCACAGCCCTGATCTTGGCTTGACTGTTACAGGCTATCAAGTAGTCTTCCTGGCATCAATGAACTGGTTTAGTTCAACTTCTAGAATTGTTTCATGGACATGGGTAGACTCAGCCTAGGAGCTAAGGAAAACTGAACTACCAGGTCTTCCCCCTTTCTCGTGTAAAAAGTACAGCCAGATCAGGATTGAAATGCACTGGCACAGCGGTATGAAGGATTTCTGCCATCCTCAGTGCCTTCTGTCCAGGACAGGGAGAGCTTAGTCTTCAGGACTCTCAACATGTGCCTTTCAAAGGAATGATCTTGTTTGGAAAAACATTGAAGGATGCTCCCCAGCTGCCAGCTCCCATG